GGTGAGCACGGAGTACCGGATCGACTCGTCCAATCGCTGTGTTGTACCCCTGGAGCTCATGTAACATTGTGTGCCACGTATACCTGAGTGAAATAACAGAGAAATAAAAAAGAGGAGGCGTTCGCGCCCAGGAACCGGCAGCCGCACGTACAGCCCCTCTTGTTGTCCCAGTGGAGACGTGGCTGTTGGCTGCGTCGTCGGCTGACGCTCCATGTGACCGGTGCACGCTTCTCCTTGCAGTGTTCCGTCAGCTGTGGCGTTGGAACCCAGCGAAGAAAGCAGGTGTGTCAGAGGCTGACCGCCAAGGGCCGGCGCGTCCCCCTCAGCGAGGTGATGTGCAGAGATCTCCCAGGGCCCCCTCTCGTAAGATCTTGCCAGATGCCCGCCTGCAGTAGTAAGTATGGAATGGCCACGCTCCGCTGGGTGTGCCTGTGCTGTTCCTCTCGTCCCGATGGCTTCCTTTCCCGTAAAGCAGCACATTTCTGATCTGTGGGGAAAGCAGACCAAGCAGAACTCAGAATTGCTGTGAGCAGCAGCCGGTGCAGTGTTGAGTAGGAGATACAGTTGTAAGGCAAGCCGGCCTTAATATGTCCACCCATCTTGACAGACGGCCTCTGTTCTGTGGCCTCGCTTGGGTTTATACTTCCTTCTTCCTTCGCTTGAGCACGGTTTCTTCCACTTATGATTAATTCATGAGTATTCCTTGTAGAAGTGACGCCAAACCAGTCTCCGGTTTCCTTCGCCAAGGATGCGTTCGGATCCATTCTAGTGAGAGTGGAACAGCTAAGTAGGTTTAGGTATTCAAGCATCTCTTCTTGTGTAGACAGTAAAACCTTGGACCGCGGTGAGTAACTTGTTCTCCGAGGGTTCCGCAAGACGAGCAAACATTTCGAATAAATGTTAACTTGAGAAACGAGAGATGTCTTACAATACGAGTAGGACGTGATGCCGAATGTCACGTGATTTATACCTGAGCCAATGGCTCTTGAGTTTCGCTTTGATTATACAAGTGCTTTTGACGACAGGCATGTTTCTGGAATGAATTATGCTCGCAAACCAAGGTTTTACTGTAATCTGAAACCAGCAAGGAAAACATGAAACACTGCTTCAATTCTAAATGATAAGCTCAGCTTCAGGACTTAATAGGGTAGCTTCATTATATCCAAAAGCTAATATGCATATGTCACATTCCTCTGTATTTTCAGTGTAGATGAGAGAATGTTTACACATGCCTCTGTGGGTTCCAGGTAGGATGATGGGTGGTAACAAGTGAGTTGGGGGCTGGCCCTACAGCAAATGAAAATAACCAGGAGAGGTGGAGTTCGGAGCTAGGGGGAAAGCCATACCAGGACTGTGCAGCTTCTGGGTATGTTTCTTGCTTTGTTTTTCTTTTTTTTTTTTTTTTTTAATTTTTTTTTCAACGTTTATTTATTTTTGGGACAGAGAGAGACAGAGCATGAACGGGGGAGGGGCAGAGAGAGAGGGAGACACAGAATCGGAAACAGGCTCCAGGCTCTGAGCCATCAGCCCAGAGCCCGACGCGGGGCTCAAACTCACGGACCGTGAGATCTTGACCTGGCTGAAGTCAGACGCTTAACCGACTGCGCCACCCAGGCGCCCCTCTTGCTTTGTTTTTCACTGTGATCAATGACTCACCTGTAAAGTAATATTAATTACCTCAGGTACCCTCCTGAGCTTATGGTAAGAAAAAAAAATCAGAAATTAACTATTATGTTCATGCTGCTTAAGGGAAAAAAAAATCCTTAGATATAAAATCCAAATTTACCCACAACTTTCTGGGAGAAACTCATAAGGCAAAGTTTAAAAAAAACAGTTACAACTTAAAAAAAAGAAGTGGAGGCTCTTTTTGGCTGTTAATTGAGCATTTATTGGTTGGAACTCCTCGCATGCACTAAGCCATTCAGCCCCCAGCAATTTGTGAGACACATATTATTCCCATTTAGAGATGAGGAACCCAAGACTTAGAGAACGTATGAGGCTTGACCGAAGACCCGTAGCTGCCGGTTGGACGCCTTGGCCTGTTTGACCACAGGTCTGTGTGATTCCTGAGTCCACAGTCTTAGCTGCCTCTTTATGCTGATTGATAGACAACGTTAACTTTTTCCCTTGGGAATTCTTTGAGAACAGATTTTCAAACTCTTGAGACTCCACGTTCCATCGTGTCCTGGAATTTAAGAATGCCTGTGGCCTAGGGCACAGGGTCGTCCTTCAAAGTGCTTATCGACTTGGTTTTTAGTAATTGTGGACAGTTGCATATGGCGGTGCGCTTAGACCGCAAGCCGCCTTCGAGGAGAGCGAACGTCAAGGCGTCCAGGCGCTTCCTCGAAGATCATCGCAGCATGTGGCGCGCCACGTGGTGCAGGTGAACTTAGAAACTGTCACGGCGTGCAGCGCAGAGCAGGGTAAAATTACAAGTTTTAGAGAGAGCGAAAAAAGCAAACAAAAGGACGCTGATACTTCTCTTTCCCCACCCCATTCCCTGGCTTGCCAAACGCATGGGGCATGGAAGGCAGAGAAGGGAGGGGAACGCCCGCTCCCAGCCTCACCCCAGCGGGGCCTCGGCTTCCTCCGTGGCCTGGCTCCCGCCATCACCTTTGCTCAGTGGCCTTTGCTTGCTGAAATCTGGCTTCTCCCTTTGCACCGTGATGGGGCATCCTCTTCTTCCTGGAGCCAGGAGGTGCGCTCAGGGGCTCACAGGTCCTCCGGACCCCTGCGGTCTGACGTCTTCCCTGCTTCCCCCCACCCACCCGCCACCCTGCGCTCAGCGCCAACTCTGCCCTCGATGTAGCTTCCAGGGCATCACGTGCAGCGGTTAAAGCCTCACTGCAGTATTCTTGCTCGCTCTGCACCCCCTGCCTCGATCACCTACTCCAACTCTGGCTTTACTTTTCAGGTGATATTTGTTTGGCTTTGGGTTCCCCGGTCTGAGCTACTAGGATTTGCTGAAGGAAATAGCATCACATTCTTCGTGCTCATGCTGATTTACCTGGGCATCGAGTGTTTTTCTTTTCCCCCGTGTTTCCTAAGAATTCCTTAGACATTCACCATAGAAGCTATTGTTAACTACTGCGTTTCCCATTTCTCTGTTAACTACTGCAACTCCTAATTTCCCACTTCTCTGTTGATGGACTCGTCTTTTATTCCACTGGGAATAGCAAGGCCTATCTGCCATAACGTCCTCTGACTTTCCGCCCCCCTTCACCTCATTTCTGCCCCATCTGCCCCCCAAGATTGGAAATGTGTGGTCTTCTTTGTGGGCCCGACCCCTGCATGATTGGAAGGGGCCTGAAGACGAGAAAGACCGAGTCCACCTGTGCTGTGATCTTTATTCCGTTTCAAGCCCCCACCTCTCACTAAGCATCCTAACTGGTGCCTCCAGTTTAACTAAAATCCATCCTCTTTGTTTATTTTTTTAACTATTTTTTTTTAAATTTTTTAACGTTTATTTATTATTGAGAGACAGAGAGACACAGAGCGTGAGCAGGGGAGGGGCAGAGAGAGAGGGAGACACAGAATCCTTAGCAGACTCCAGGCTCCGAGCTGTCAGCACAGAACCCGCCTCGGGGCTCGAACTCACGAACTGTGAGATCATGACCTGAGCCGAAGTCGGTCGCTCGACCGACTGAGCCACTCAGGCACCCCATTAACTATTATTTTTGAGACAGAGAGAGAGACAGACAGACAGCGTCAGCTGGGGAGGGGCAGAGAGAAAGGGAGAGAGAGAAACCCAAGCAGGATCTGTGCTGTCGGAGCAGAGCCTGATGCGGGATTGAGGCCACGAAGCGTGATCGCGACCTGAGTCATGATCAAGAATCCAATGCTCAACCACCTGAGCCCCCCAGGCATCCCCAACCCATCCTCTTTGGATGAATGAGTTTTGTTGATCTTCATTTTGACCATATTCATGGGCAGTTGGGTGGAGGGCGGGTGGGAGAGATGTCTTGAGCACCACACGGTCCGGTTATACCCCTGCCTGGGTCCCCCCTACGTTCCCTGCCTCCCCCCACTCCAGACTTTGATCGTTTCTTGAATTCTTTCTCCCGCCATATCTAGCAACTGACATTCTTCTTATTCCTGAAAGACCAACGCAAACCCTGCCTTCCCCCACGATCTTTCTCAGTGGAACCTTCTCTGGAAGGTAATACAACCCCCCGAGTTACAATCCCAGCCGTTGCCTCGCCCTGTGACATCAGGCAAGTTACCTAATCTCTGCCAGGCTCTATGTTCTCATCTGCAAAATGGGAATAGTAATTTCATCTACCTTGTACGATTGCTCTGAGACGTAATACCTATAAAGTGCTTAGAAGCAATGCCAGACGCTGACTGAAGGCTCAAAATATTAGTTATTTTTAATGCATCCCTTTAATTCCTGTCACAGCTTTGAAGACAGGACACGTTGTAACAGAGCAACTTGTGTCTTCTGTCCCAGGAGGGTGCAGGGTACTTGAGTGGGGCAGGTACACAGTAGCCCTGGACTTCTCCATCGAGGCCCCCCCAAAGTGCTTATCATGACTTCCACCCATAGAGTTGCTTTTCAAATATCTCGGACTTGGATTCTCTTCATATTGCTGTTGGAAGTCTTGTCTTCTAATTAGGGATCTGAAGGGGGGAGAAACATAACGGAAATGTAGTATTTGAT